TCTGGGGTGAGAGGGACTTTGGGAAGGGGGGATGTGAGGTGAGGAGGGCGAGGGTGTGACTTGGTGTGGGAAGGGAGCCTCTGGCTGAGGAGGGCTCACTGGGGCCTCTGCCCGCCGCCCAGGCTGCGCCCACGCCGGGCAGGCATGGTCGGGTATGACCCCGAGGCCAAGTGCGTCTCCTCGGTGGAAGCGGCTGCAGCAGGATCGGCGTCTGGCTTGGTCACTCGGGTCCTTATCAGCCCCTTGGATGTCCTCAAAATCCGCTTTCAGGTACCTTCCTCACGGCGTGCCTGGGGACGGGGTGAAAGAGCCTGTTACAGAGCAGAGCTGGTCTTGTCCTGGGTGAACAGGTCACCTGTGCAAGCAGAGAGCACTAAATCTGCTTTTGTGCCCTCACCTGCATTCTATCCAGGTTATGCAAGGTAGTGAGGCTATCTTGTGTCCACCGCTTCTGTTTGTACAACTTAACTCTTGTATCCCGAATGGGATCTTGTGTTTTTCTTAGTTTGTTCTCTTTCTCTGTTTTTCTGAATGATCTCCACTATCTAACTGAATTTCACCATCTTCCGTACTGATGACCTTTGTGCTGCATGCATGGTTCTGTTCTTTTCAGGGCCCTGTATAAATAACATCCTAGTCAGCTCTAGGGGTGATGCTGTGGGAAGGCAGAACATCGTCTCTTACTATTGGTTGGCTGACAGGGTTGTGAATTCCTAAACTGGACGCTTTAACCTTGTTGAAGTGTGACATGGAATTGAAAATATTTTCTCCATTTTCCCGTAGCTTCAGATCGAGCAGCTCTCCTCCAGAAGCCCAGGGGCTAAGTATCATGGCATCTTGCAAGCTGTACAGCGCATCTTCCAGGAAGAGGGGTTGGTAGCCTTCTGGAAGGGCCACGTTCCTGCTCAGTTCCTTTCAGTTGGCTACGGAGCTGTTCAGGTAAGGTGACCAGACATCGTCTGGGCCCAGCATATGTACACAAGATTCTGCTTTTCTCCTCTTCAGACTGGCTGCATGAGCAGATGTGGAAAGGTCCAGGTTTATTCCATACTGGTGCAAACAAGCTCCAGCCTCAAAGATGTTTGGCTGTGTAATGCTGATGTATAATTCCTCAGTTAACCTTCCTGAGCTTGCCAAGCAGCCTGCCTGGCCAGCCTGGAGTGCAGCTGGAGCAAACTGAGTTCTGGCTCTGTCAGGTCTCACAGACAAGCCTCATTCATTCCTGATGCTTGGCTTAGCTGTGGGTGCTCCAAGCCTATGTAGGTTTTGGGTATGGTTCATGTGAAGATGTTTTGCACAGCGTTGTTGTGCTTAATTTGTAAATATTAACAACACATTTTATAAGCAGTGGTTGAAAGAGTAATGGGCAGCATATATGTAATACAGCAAATACTCTCTAGGACACATAGAGCATTAAAAATTTTTCACAGTTCTAAATGCAAGATTTAGCAGAAGTGTAGCAGTGATCAGAACATCCCCAGCATTCCCCAGCTGCTCAGGGGCTGTACAAGGCGTTCTTTGAGCACATGCTGTGACAGGTTGCAAGCTGGGGAGGACTTCTGAAGGACGAAGAGAGAAAGTGGTTACAGGGGTGGGTGGAGCTCTTCTGGTGAAAGGAGAGAGGAGTGGGAGATCCGTGTGGGTGATAAGGACTGACTCCTTGGCCTGGGTATTTTCTTCCTTGAAGTTCATGGCTTTTGAAAGCTTGACGAAGCTGGTCCACAACGTCACGTCGTACGACGGCCGGGACTCCTGCGTGCACTTTGCCTGTGGTGGGCTGGCTGCCTGCACAGCCACCGTCGCCGTGCAGCCCGTCGACACGCTGCGCACCCGCTTTGCTGCCCAGGGAGAGCCCAAGGTGAGGCCTAAGGGCTGGTGTCTGGGGTTACCATCCGCAGCAGCAGCTCAGTGTATGGGCACAGGAGGTTTGGAAAGTACAGAACAGCCTGTGTGTTAGTGTGAAGGAGCAGGAGCTGTTGTTATTGGGCAATGTTTGTGCTGTTACCAAGTCATTCTCTGTGCTGTTGACACAGCTTTCTTAATTACGTTTTGCTGCTCCTGATTGTGTTTGACTCCTGACAGGTGATCCAGAAAGGAGAAGCCGTCCTTACCAGGATAACTCAATTCTCATTTTGGCTGTTGGCCATTTGCAGAACACACTCCCCAGACTGTCAGACATTGCATGTTTCAAACTTTCCACGTGTACAGAGTCAGGTTTAGATAATGATGGGAGTGATAGTTGAAACCAGTCACCTTTCACCTGTGTTTCTTGGTTTTCTTTATGCAATAATTGATTTCTGTGCTAATGAAGTCTGTAATAACTAGATTCATACGGGTTTGTGTCAAAGACTTTCCTGGGTTTTGACTCGGCCTGCAGTAGAATCACAATATGCATTATGAATTTTGCTGCAGGAGCAAGTAGAGCTGTTAAGAGCAAATTAAATACCTGTGATTCAGTTGGTCTGAGAGCACAGCCCTCAGTGCTGTGCCATGCCTTTCCCTCTCAGAAGCACAGCCTGGGTGTGGGGCACAACGTCAGGATGGGCTGCTGGGCTGCTCAGTGCAGAGCTAACAAGTGTTCAGTCTCTTGTGGCTCAGGTTTAGGCTGTCAGCCTACGAAAGTCACAGGGGCTTAGCTGAGAATACTGGGTGAACATGTGCAAAATCACTTTGTTCATTGCTTTGTGCTGAAAATCAGTCAGTTGTATTTGGGCAGTGGGAAATGCCTGTCCTTACTGGGAAGTAACCTGGCCTTTGCTTTGCTGGTTGTAAGCTAATTTCACTGAACTCAGCCCCTTCTTTATTGTCTAGATCTATCACAGCCTTCGCCATGCAGTGGCAACGATGTACCAGACAGAAGGACCTCGGGCTTTCTACAGAGGTTTGACCCCCACAATCATTGCCATCTTTCCATATGCTGGTCTCCAGTTCTCCTTCTACAACATCCTTCAGCAGTTTTCTGAATGGGTGATTCCTGCTAAAAAAAAGAGGTAGGCACTTGGAAGAGTGATATCTCTGATCTGGGGAGAGAGAGAGGATGAATGCTGGCTTGGGAGACTGACATAAGCTCAGTTTTCTGTCCTATCGCCTCTTTCAATGCAACATCTGAAAAATATCTCAATTTCCTATCTCATTGTTACTCCTGCACAGATACTATGAAAGTGAGTACTGTCAAGATTAGAAACAGCTCCAGTTAGGGAACAACTGTGATGTCTTGGTGTTGCAGTCTTGGTGTTTCTCTTGGTTTCATCAGTGCTGTGGGGACAGGACTTGGATTTGCTCAGGAAATCTGCCTGCAGGTTCCAGCACAGCTGTTACAGGAGAGGATTCATTTAGCCTAATTTAAAACTACTAAGCTCTTAATTTGATATTTTTATGTTGGTTTCTAGCTTAGTATTAAGAGAACCTCATCCCAATGGGACTTTGACAGTTGTAGATACTAGTGCCTCTCTGAGAGCGTGTGTGCAGCATCAATATGGTTTTGTTCCTCAGTGGAATTTCTTCAGCAGAGGAACAAAACTTTTCAATATCATGTCTGCATATTTATTTTTAGGTGGCAGAGGCTGATGATGGTTTTGTGCTGGGAACTTATGTTTGTCAGGGAAAGATCTAGTATCAGAGAACTCACTTCCCACAAGTCTCTGAAATCTTCAGGCAGTGTCAGGTTGTGAATTATTCCAATACAGAATAAGTCAGTCTGAGCAAGCTAGGAGTGTGAGGTTTCCAGGGGTGTACTTTTACTGGGAAAACTCTTCCATCCAGTAGTGGCAGGTTCTCTTGTGACTTTTTTGTGCAATGCCACTTGGCCCAGCAAAAGCGTCCGCTGGTGTGATGAGCCAAGGTGAGCTGTTATGTTCTGGCTCCAGTGGACACTGTGAGCCTGATGCAGAAAATACAGATGGAGGTTCTGTGGCCCAAACTGTGCAGAAGAGGAGATGTGACTGTAAAGGGCTGTTTTGGCCTCTCTTGTGAAAAGTGAGTTTAACTTACCTCTCATGATCTTTAATCATAACTCCTTGCTTAATCCTCTTTCCCCTTCCCTCTCTTTTCACCTTTCTGCTTCTCAGGCAACATAAAAAACCTTGTTTGTGGCAGCTGCGCCGGGATCATCAGCAAAACCCTCACCTACCCTTTGGACCTGCTCAAAAAGCGACTGCAAGTGGGTGGCTTTGAGCGTGCCCGGGCAGCCTTCGGGCAGGTGAGGAATGCTGGAATTGATTGATTTTCATGAGTGTGGGTTTGCATCAAGACACTCCAGAGGCAGTCATCATGCGAATGCAGTGGTGATTCACCAGTGGTACCTGTTGTGTTTGCACTGGGAGCTCCTGGGGAACTTCTGGGAGCTGAGCATTGGTGTCAGTAGTGGGAGCAGCAGCATGAATAAACTGGGATCATTTCATGACATTGTCCAGCATACCTGTGCTCTGCCTTCTCATCCATCCCCATCAGGCTCTGTCTCGCGGAGCTGGGCATGAGTTAGGCAGGCAAAGGAGTTTCAATTTACTTTTCTAGTTGCAGCTTGGTATTTCTGATTCAGGAACAAATGACTAGCAGAGGATGACTCCAGCTGAGGCTGGGACCGCCTGGCTGTCAGGACCCTTTTCAGCAATCAGTAGGTGGATAAAAGGAACGGGCACCAAGCGTTCAGCGTGTGTCTTGTGTACCAGAATATCCTGAAATTCAAAGCAAATCAAATGCTTCCAGTGTTCTTTAGCACCATCCCTACCACCTTGAAATATGCTGTAAGACAAATACAGGTCTTTAAAGGAGGTATTTTTTTTTCTCCATGAAATGTGAAAATTTTTTTTCCTCCAAATTTCTTGGATCTGGGAAGCAAATCAGTCTGTACCTCAAATTCTGGGATGGGAATTTGAAGTCTTAACCCATTGCATTGGATGCTTTTCCTCTTCTAGTGAGGTACAGAATTTGTTCTTAGCTTTGATGTGTTGCAGGATATTAAACCTTCTGAGTGGGATACAGTGACATGCAGATAGCTAATTAGAGACCCCTATGTGCTGTAGCTGTGTTTTCTTTCTGTCAGAAAACTGAAAAGTTGTCCCTCCTTAGAGAGGGAAGGGGATGGAAAATAGTAGCAGAACAATCCAAAATAGTTACTTCTTAAACTTGTACCAGAAATAATATATGCTGTGGTAGCATAAAAATTTTACAGGCATTCAATTAGAATGATTTGGATAAGCCATTGCTGATGGCTTTTCCTCTGCTCTGCTCTACAAACTGAGCTCTGAAACGTTCACTTAGTTCTAATAACCGCCAGAAAGGCATCTCCAGGCTGCACCTCTAGGTTATGTTTTGTGATACAGTTTGGGGCTCTCTGTCTTCTTTCCAGATAAGCTGTCCTGGAATTTTCTCATTTAATCTTTTCACTGTTTCTCTCCCAGGTACGGACGTACAAGGGTCTCCTGGACTGCATAAGGCAGATCATGCTAGAGGAGGGCCCAGGTGGCTTCTTTAAGGGCCTTTCGCCCAGCCTGCTGAAGGCTGCTGTCTCTACTGGCCTTGTCTTCTTTTGGTATGAGCTGTTCTGCAGCCTCCTGTGTGCCCTGAAGAGCACCGATAGCCCTGCGAGGAGGGAAGGCTGAAAGGAGCACATGTGTGGCTACCTGGTGTTCTCCTCGAGGAGGGGAAGCATGGCTTTGCTCTGCCATGAGTATGCTGGAAACATCAGAGCTCCCAGAGCTCCACCAGCCTGTAGGAAATGACCAGGCAGAAGGAGAAGGTGACTGCAGTTCTGCTGGGACACTGAACTGCTTTGCTGGAAGCTGCTCAACTGAGCTCTCTTTTTCCTCTGTCTCCTCTGACATCAGCACATGTTTAGTGTGGAAAGGGAGGACCAAGCAGCCAGCTACCTATCAGAGACTGTGCTCTGAAAAGGCCCCCAGTCAAGTGGGTGAATTCCTGTTTGTCCTGGGTCATGGAGAGGGATCCTGGCCCAATGCTGCTTAACCAACCTATCGTCACTTCCTATCGCTGCGTCCGCACAGCGTCAGTTCCTCACTCTGCCCTGCTGTTTGCACCATATTCTTTTATCAGGGTTGCACTGGGAGCTCTGTCCTGCTGTTCTGAAGTCAGTTAAAACCTCTTTAATGTGCACAGGCCCTCAGTTTTCCTTCTCTTTGCTGCCAGCTGCTGCTTCTTGATGACCACTCGCTGGCTGCACGTTCTCAGCCATCTTAAACACAGGAACTTCTAACGGATCACGCTCACCCGAGCTTTAACTCTGGTGAGCTTGATTGGTTCCTAAGTGCCCATTTCTCTGCCTGCATGTCTTGCCGTGCATCTCTTGGGGTTCTGTGTCCCCTCAGTCACACTTTTTACGAGTAGACCTGCAGATAAGAACCCCACTCTAGGGGATTCAACGCACAAACCCAATTCTTACTTCAGGGTTCTTCGCTTCAATGCAGTGAGTAAACAAATGCTGCACAGAGTTTTAGAAATATTTAATAATGAAGAAGTCCTGTGGAAGCTAGTAAATGTTTGTTGTTTTTTTTTTTTCTTTTTTTAATACCACCTTTGAATGTTTCTAGCAAGTATTTATGTAGTGGTCTCAAAACATTTCTGAACCTCTGTCCTGCAGTGGTGTTAACAGATGAAAATGTTTTGACAAGATCAGCTGAAGTGAGAGGACTGAATATCAAGTCCAAATTAGTTGGCCTAGCATGGTGTTTGACAAGGAAAGGATGCTTCAATTAGAGCTGGAGCAGTGGGGTTTTTTTGAGTTTAAAAGGTTTTATTAATTGTTTTAAACAAAACAAAAAAAAACCAAAACAACTAACAACTCTGATTTATGTAACGGAACTGAGCAGAGGGTATTTGGACCCATGTGTGGAAGGCAGGCTTCAAGAAGAGCCCTGGTGTGGCACAGAAGCACACCAGTCATCTGGCAAGTGGTGGCTAGGACAGAGCACTGCTGTCATTTAGAGGATGGTTTGATGGTTCTTCTTAACACAGAGCTTTTCGTGGCTCTTGTGCAACATTCAGGGTGTTAATCCAAAGGGGTCTGGCCAAATTCCAGGGTGACCAATTCCATTCCGTTGATGCAACTTCTCGTGGCGATTTTGAGCATATCGGCGTTGCTCGCTTACCCTGAACTGTTGTGAGAGGCTGTTCTAAAGAGCAGGTGTTCCACTGGTGGCTGAGGTGTCATCTCCAGAGAGGTGCCTTACAAGCCCAGGCCACTTAACTCTGTGTCTGCTGCAGTTTGAGGTCTTGGAGTGCAAAGTGGCATTTTCACTGCGGGTGACTTTAGAGCTATGTACTTTTAAATTCACTGAGCAGTGTCAGTGTCGGGCAGGAGGCTAATGAATATATACTTGAAGAGGGAGTGTTAGCTGTGTGTACTCTAAAAATGGGCAGTTTTGCTTAGAGGAGGAAATGCAAAGAATGCAAGGTAAAGTTTCTCAATCCTATTGGCATTTTCCTATGTCATTGAGGCTATTCTGAGGTTCCACCCAAATCTTTTAACAATATTTTGCCTTTGTTTATTGTTCATTTGTTGTTCTTGGAAAGACCTCATAGCCAGTAATGACGTTAGTCTCGTGACATCCTTCTGAGGGAGAGGAATATCTTGTTTCAAAACAGGCACAAACAGGTTGGGATTGTTGCTGTCTTTTGGCTGCTGGTAGAGAGGAATTCTGTTGTGGTTAGCAGGGATGAGACTGGCCACAGCAGAACACTTTTAGTGCTGACGTAGGCTTCCATAGGAAATTGGGAGCCATCCATCCTCTCTAAGCATTACAAGACTCTTGTTTTCCACTTTATGTCCAAGAGCTGCTGTTAAACTGCACAAAATGGGGGCAAGCTGGTCAGGAACTCGGCAGCTTCTGGAAAAGGGGGTGAGTTGCTTTAGTTGTCAGAGAGGTGAAGAATGAAGAACAGAAAACTGTGTGCTCTGCTCAGTGACATCCCTCGAGTGCTGTGGAGCTCAAGGTGATGCAGGTAAACAGCTTCAGGGGCAGCAGCTTGGCTGCTCTGCAGGAAGTGTGGCAGTGGAGAGTGCAGAGCAGCTTTTCCTCTCTGGGGTAGTTTTTTCCTCTGCTCTGTGTGAGTTTGCCTCCATCCAACAGATGGTCAAGTTGGAGTTTAAGTTGTTCCAGTCTGGCCCAGGCTGTGGAAGAGAGGCTGCCTGGTTGGAGGGCTTTGGTGCACAGCCTAGTTTGTGTGTCCCTTGGTGCTGTTAGTTATCAGTGTTGCAGGCACATAAAGGCACTTTATGGTCTTGTAGTGAGTGGAGGATAAAAGTAACAGCCTCAACTGTACAATATTAGAAGTTGCGTCTAACAGTCGCTTCATCCCTCGCCTCTGGCCAGCAGCATCTGTCTCTGATAAATTTCCAGTGTGCACTTGGCAAGCTGGGAGCTGCTGCAGGGGAAAGGGCTGCAGCAGGGAAGCT